GGTGGCCGCGGGCGGCCCCTGCCCTGCCTCCGGCAACTTGGAAAACATGCCGTGCTCGTGCGTGTGCATGGCCCAGATCCTGGCAGGACGGAGACACGGCGGGAACAGTGCTGTGGTGTGACTACACCGCACTGGGGGCTCCGTGTGCTCTCCGGTGAGCACATGCAACCTCGGACAGTTAGTTTTGTTTTTTTAAGAAATGGCATGAACAGGCTGAGCATCCCTAATCTGAAAATTTGAAAACAGAAATGCTTCACAAACTTTTTCTGTCAACATGATGCCACAATCAGCAAATTCTACACCTGACCTCGTGCAAAGGATTCTTTTCAGAATGCAGGCATGCAAAACATAGTTGCACATAGCCCACTGGGTGACAGTGATGAGAAAAAGGGGGTGCAGGTATTCCAGAATAAAAAAAAAAAATGAAGTCCAAAACACTTTGATTCCCAAGCTTTTCTGATAAGGGATACTTGGGCTGTATGTGTATGTAAATGCATAGTTAACTATGAAGACAATCTAAATGTATTTTTTGCTTTCTATAACTATTTTTGTTCCTCTAATAATACTCAATAAAAGGTACACTCACTCACTACAGCCCCCACTCCCGCCCTCCCAGCCTGCCAAAGTTATGGCCATGTGTGGCCACTGTGTTCAGGTCCACCAGGGAACTGAACCCGCGGTCCTCCATCCACACAGATTCAGCTTTACTTGAACAGAGTGTTACTGTGCACCAGCAAGCACATTGCATGAGTACGGGGTCTGAGTTTATACTCTGTGTTTGGTGCATAATCTCGTACTAAGAAATTGCCCACAAAACGGGACCAGGAACTAGCATGAACAAACACTAAATACACCTCTTAAGAGTTGAGACTCCTTAGAAAACAATCCCACCGAGCGTGTACTTACAGCCCACCCTCGGAAACCGAACCATCTTGACAGGGAATTGGTACATACAACAAACAAAAGGATGTCACTTTAAGATTGGGCATTGTCTCCCAGCGTGGTGAGTAATGTTTAGATATCTACAGGACTTAGGCGGCATAGCAAGCAGAATGTAAGAACTGAGCAGAGGTTAAAAAAAATGATGCCAGACATGGTGGCGTGACCCCAAAACAGCCACAGATACCAGAGGACCCTTATCTCCACGGCCGTGCTGCAGTTCATTAAATCAAACAAAATAGCGTACAGCCCTTGCAAGGTTGAAAGGTTTCTTAAAATCTGAGTAATCATTTAGCGTATTCTAATGTCCCGAGCTCTTACATAGAACTCCGAAATCTTCTTGAATTGTTTCTGACTAAGAGATGATCAAGATAACCATCTCAGGGCCCAAATAGTTTGGTGATAACTCATAAAATTGCGTTTCGGACAAAGTGTAGACCTCGCTAACTAGGCCCTCGACTGACCGCCAAGCGGAGTGTAGGCTAGTCTGATGCTGGGGCTTCCTTCCTCCCAGCTGCCCACCAGGTGGGGCTTTCTGGTGATGGCGAAGACAGGGTTTTAGCTGAGGTAGCTCCCGACTCCCGACTCCCGGGGTGCAGTGGGCTTGGTGGCACTTGTCCTCTTTTTGCAACACTGCACTTCAGCAGCTGTCGACTTTCCCTGTTGGGTAATGATTGTGTTTGTGAGTTTAGTTACTTTTTAGTTAAAAGTATTGAAAATCCATTTCATCTTTGAAAAGCCTGCTATGTCAGTATATAGTATTATCTGGTTTAAGGTTTTATAAAATTCCCGCTCTCTGCTGACTACAGATGCATATTATCTGGGTATGGAGACCAGGTTTTAGTGTGCGCAGGGACTGAGGCATGCTCCGCGAACCTCTTCAGGTCGTGCTGCCTCTGCTTAACTGTTAGAACTGCTCCTCCCCTGGACCAGCAGTTGGCATAATGGCTATGTCGCTGGACTCCCACCTAGTCGACTGCGGTTCGAGTCGCGTGTGCGTGTGTGCCCAAGATCCCAAGAGGAGAATGGAGGAGAAGGGATTGCGGCGTGACCATCCCCCCTGGGGGGGTGATTTCTCGCTTTCTGTCTCTCTGTCTCTGTCTGTCTGGCGAGCGCACGTGCCCTATAGCGAAAACCTCTCCCAAAAAAAAAAAAACCTGCTTTCCCTTGATAACTGTTAGGCATTGTCCCTCTGTGTCTCTTTCCTGATTAGTCTGGCGAGCGCACGCGCCCTATAGCGAAAACCTCTCCCCAAAAAAAAAAACAAAAAAAAAACAAACTGCTTTCCCTTGAGAACTGTTAGGCATTGTCCCTCTGTGTCTCTTTCCTGATTATGCAGTAAAGTGCACTAGTGGAAATTTAGTTCATTGTGTGTGTGGCTTAATTTGCCTTTCTTTAAATTATGCACTTTTGTTTTTTAGAGGCAAGCTCATTTAAATTTGAACTTTATGCCCCGTTTCTGAAGGCGATCTCTGAGTAATGGATGCACAAACCCCTCTGAGCGGGGACCCCATGTTCTCTTAAACCCATGTATTACTAATTCACGGCACTGGAACACTCCTTGCCCTCACTGCCCGAGCAATTTGCTGTCGAGGTAGTGCTCGGGGCTTGCTTTGGCCCATTCCTGAATGCGCCCCTCCCTTCCTGCGGTGGCTGACTTCTATGTCCTGACGAGTGGTGGCGAGGGACAGCTCTCGGGGTTCTGCGAGCTGTGAGCATAGCAGTGCTGGGGGCTCCGGTGCTGCTCCCGCTTCCCTGCACACACTCGGCGGGGCCTGCAGGTGTGCTTGACCGCAGGGTCGTGACGTGGTCCTTGGGCTTTCGGACTTTGTCGTGGGTGTTTCTGTTTGGGTTCGGCATTGTTCCTTACAGTGTTGCCAACTATATACTGCTTGCAGTTCAGACCCGATAAAAATGAGTGCATTTTAAAAATAAAATAACTAACGTACGTGTGTTGTTTTAGAAATTTGCCTAGTGTTTTAATTTAGAAATTTTTAGTGTTTTAACTCACAATACTTTGAATACTTAAAGACACTTGAATGCCTGAAAAGGACCTTAATGTTTTCATGTAATTTCCTCAGGTTAATTGGGAAGCTCACTCACTTGAACCTCTGTGGTTTGATACATTTTTGGCACATCTTACAGTAGTTGGCAGCATTGTTTTTGGCTCTCTGTTGGTTTGGGTTTATATAATGTCTTTTTCTTTTCTCCGTTTCTCTCTTTTGCTTCCTAAGGACATGATGATACAGCGCCATGTGCCATTTTGAAAAGTATGGATAGTTTTAGCTTTCTCCAACACCCAGTGCACCAGAGGAGCTTAGAGATTCTGCAGAGGTGCAAGGAAGAGAAGTACAGTAAGGCTGCAAATCCTGCTCAACCCCGTGCCAGCATGTGTTTCTCAGGAAATGGAAACCCGGAGTGTTCCACCCCAGGGCGGGATATAGACTACATGAACGACATGCCTTCATAGTCTTCTGAACAGTCTGGGCATGTTTTCTTTGAGACTTTAACTCTTTGTCTTGAAAATGTGGATATATTTGTTCTTTTAAATTGGGTGACTTTGCTATTTGCCTGTGATCATTGAATCGCTAATCCAATACTTGGTTTTGATCACTGAGTTGGTTTCCATTTGTCTTTCAAGCAGCTTAGTGGTGGACAAAAATGAACACTGCTTCTGTTCCTACTAATTTTTAAAAAAGTTTTACAGAGGTCTAATTGAAGTAAAATAAACTGCATACAAAGACAACAGTTCCGTAAGCTTTGACACACGTAGGCACCCGTGAAGTGAACGCTGCATTCTGGATGTCGAGTTACACCCAGCACGCCCCAGAACGCCCTCACCTCTATCTCTGAGTGAGCGGATTCGGTGTGCGCTTCCATGTGGGCGTCCGCATCAGCAGTGCTGTTGTGTCCGTGGTGCGCGCGCAGTCTGACTGCGGCCCTGCAGCCACGCCAGGTGTGGGGCAGTCCCACATTTGTGCTTTTGCCTACGGGAGCCTAACAGGCTCACAGTTCGTGTTCATTTTTGTTCGCTTGCTTTTTCTATAAAATTGGTGTAAAAAATGCCCTTGGTTTCCATCTCCTCCTTGCTCACCACCTGCTACATTCATTCTGCATGAAAACCAGCTTGTCCTGTTATGAAATGACGGTTATTGGGCTACTGTTATCGTGGGAAGAAGTGGATTCTTTAGAATACTGAGCCCCATAACTCAGCAGCTTGCATGTGATGGACCTACATTACTTGCATAATCTGTTCTGAGCTTTTAACAAATTGCCACAAATTTAGCTGGCTGATTTCACAGTTTTCTGATTGAAATTTTAGTGTCCAGTTGTCAGTGTAAGGAGAATATAAGTAGAGTTCTGAAAAACAAATGTTGCAGGTTCCTTTTTCAATTCCTTTTACTTATGCTGTCTTGGGTATAAGAAAATATGTAATGTGTTTTGGAAAATAGTATTACAGATATTTTTATTTTAGAAAGAACAAAGGTAAGTATTTTGTTTGTTTAAAGGTTATACTGAATTACTACTATTGTATCTTGAAAGGTATAGAAGTCCTCATTCTGATTCTCTTTCTATTCAGAATTTTTTAAAAGGATTATTTTATTTAACTTTACTTATCCATTTATTTACTTATTTCAGTTTGACCAGAAGAGGGAGAGAGAGAGAGAGAGGGAGAGGGAGCGGGAGAGAGAGGGGGAGAGAGAGAGAGAGAGGGAGAAATGAAGCTGCCAGGTCCGGGACTTGGACTGCAGTCGGCCATGTGTGAGTCCACTGCCCTTAACCACCACACCCCTGCCAGCCCCATCTATTCAGAATGTTTTAATCCATAGTACACTGTTTAAAACAACCTATAAATCTTTTCTGAGAACTTAAGTTTATTCTCTTTAGCTTACAAATGATTGCAAGTGGTTTATCTGCTTTTAAAAAATACTGTATTTTATTTTTATCATCTCATTATTATTTTAATTTGCTGTAGGGAATGCACACTCACCAGAGAGATGGAGAGAGAAAGAGAGAAGCAAGCTCCCAGGACCGAGACTCGAACCACAGTGGCCATGTGAGAGTCGTGTGCTTTACCCACCATGCCATCCGCTGGCTCTTGTCTGCTTTGTTTTCCTGTGACCCTCACCCTGACAACCCACAAACTGATTGTACTCTGGCTTACTGTTTGTGAGTCCAGAATAGAAAGGCATCACTTTTGGCAGAGGTTTCTAGATGGAATTTTTGCATTTCTGTGTGTTCACATGCAAACTTCGACATTTGTAGGCTTTGAAACTTTTTCATTGCTTTATGTAGTTTATTCCATTTTTCATTATAGTACTAGTAGTAATTAAACTTTTTGGGTGGGGGGAGTTTTTGCTATAGGGCACGTGCTCTTGCCAGAAAGACAGAGAGAGACAGAAAATGAGAAATCACCCCCCGGGGAGATGGCCACGCTGCAGTCCCTTCTCCTCCATGCTCCCCTCAGGATCTTGAGCATGCACGCGCATGTGTCCTGTGTGAGTTTTAAGCCACTGGGTCCGGGACTAGAACCACAGTCAACTACATGGGAGTCCAGCAACATAGCCGTTATGCTTATTGCTGGTCCCCAAAATAAAACTTTTATAATATATTAAATTATAAATTCAGACTTGGAAGATAGTTCCTTTAAAAAAAAAAAAAAAAAAAAAGAGGACCACTAGGTAAATTGGTGTATGGTGAATTGGTGTATGGTGACATGAACGAACAACTTTCATCCAGGTAACAATGATGAAGCCTAGGAAAAAATTTAAAATAACCAACTAGTTGAAAATGCTAGAAAAGGACCAAAAGTAGGCAAATCAGAGAAGAGTTTCTTTCTTTCTTTTTAAAAAGCTTATTTATTTCTTCTGTGAGACAGAGAGAAGGAGTCAGACACCACCAGCCAGGCCTTCACATCGTGACTGCTCTGTGTCAGGTGGCCCAGATCATGGGCATACATGTGTGTACCCTGTGTGCCTAGGGAGACCGCAGGGTGGGGAACCAGGACCTTTACCGTGGGGGGCCCTGTGGGTCTAGTTGTGTAACCACTGGACCAACACCTGGCCTGTTTCTTTTCTTTTTTTCAAGTTTTTGCTATGGGACGTGCACACTAGCCAGAGAGAGAGGGGAGGAGAAAGTGAGAAATCATCTCCCATAGAGGATGGCCACACCACAGTCCCTTCTCCTGCATTCTCCTCGAGGGATTTGGGACACATACACTTGTACACCATGCTCAGTGGGTCCTTCCAGCCACCAAGTTCTGGACTCAAACCGCTGGCCATGTGGTATCCAGCACCTTAACCATCATGCCACCTGATGGCCTGAAATAAGTTTTTTAAGATTATTGCTATACGGCATGTGCGCTCATTGGAGACAGACAGACAGCAAGAAATCACCCTTGATGTCCATGCCACAATCCCTTCTCCTTCAGTGTCCTTTTGGGATTTGGGGCACGTATGCAGACATGCCTGGGACTCTAACCATGGGTGACTACATGGGAGTCCAGTGACGTAATCACTACGCCATCTCCTGGTCCCTGAAATAGGTATTTTTAACAAGGTCTCTCCTCATCTTTATCCTCCTGCCCGCCCTCCTTGTTGACTAGCCTCTCCCTGTTGTGGGTTGTGCGTGCTCTCTCTCTCTCTCATAGGCAAGTACATGTGATAATCACGCAAGAAAAAGGAGTGTTTTGTTTTGTTTTGTTTTTTTAAAGTTCTGTTTTTTTTTTTTTATTATTTTTTATTTAATTTTATTTTGACCAGAGAAGGATAGAGTGAGAGAGAGAGAAAGTGAGAAAGCAAGCCTCCAGGTTCGGGACTTGAACCACAGTCAGCCATGTGGGAGTCCAGTGCCCTTAGCCACCAAGCCACCTGCTGGTCCCAAAGGAGTGTTTTTTAAAAAGCATTGGAAACCATGCAGGAGATCCCAAGAGGCTAATGGAAGAGAAGGAATTGCATGTGGCCATTCCCTGTGGGGATGATTTCTTGCTTTCTGTCTGTCTCTGTCTCCCTGGTGAGCGCATGTCCCCTATAGCAAAAAAAAAAACAAAAAAAAAAAAAAAAAAAGAACCAGAAAAACTCATGCTGGGAACATGTGCATGTGTTCCCAAAAACCTGAGAGGAGAATGGAGGAGAAGAGATTGCAGCATAGCCAGATCCCCTGGGGGATGATTTCTCTCTATCTTTCTCTCTGTCTGGCGAGTCCCCACACCCTATAGCAAAAATCTCTTAAAGAAAAAAAGAAGGTATTTCTAGAAAGAATAAAATTCTCTGTGAGTACTTTATGGAATAATTTAAGGACATGAATTTAATAATATAATAGCAAATATTCAAGACTATAAAGTGTCTTTTTGAGCTAATAAGACAGGCAGAGGCATAAAACACCTGTATGAGTTTAATAAATAGAAGAAACAGAGCTAAAAATTGACAGTTGAGTTACTGATGTTAAGGAAAGGCCCAAGATGTGTACGCTTCAGCATCCAGAAGGTAAGAATGGGTACGGATGGGCTAGCGGGTGGTGTAGGGTTACGGTGAAGACTCACGTGACCGACTGCAGTTCGAGTCCTGTACCTGGTGGCTTGAAACACACCAGACATTTGTGCATGACCAAAATCCCGAGAGAAAAATGGGGGAAAGGATTGTGGTGTGACCATCCTCCCTGGGGAGTGATTTCTCACTTTCTCTTTCCAGCAAGTACATGCAACCTATAGCAAAAATCTTTCCGAGAAAAGAATGGACATGGAGAATAAAAACTGATAACCTGTTACAGGAGTCATCAGTGTTTATAAAGTAAGAACAGAACAAACAAAACAAGGAAAATGGCATTCGTGTACACACACGGATATTACGGCCTCTCCTTGACGCCAGTGATTGAGCCGTTCACGTGTTGTATGTGCCTGCTATCGAAGGATAACCGCTTTGTTGACATAGAGCACATTACACTTCTGCTGGTACCCTCGCTCCTCTCGAGGATCTGTGCTCGGGAATGGCACTGCTGGGTTACCGTAAGTCTAGATGGTGGCCGAGTACTGCGCCGTCACCGCCAGCCGTGCAGAGCGGATTGCTCCACGTCTCTGACAGCACTTCCCCGTGTTTCTGATCCTGGCTGTTCAGGAAGTGGCATCTCGTTGTAGTTTTGTTTGCACTTCTCTGATGATGTTGAGTATCTCTCCATGTGCTTATTATTCGCTGTTGGCATGTCTTCAGAGGAGCATTTACTCCAGCGCTCTGGACATTTTAAAATTGAGCTTAGCCTTTTAACCATTGTACTGTAAGAGTTATCTTTATGTCCTAGATGCAAACTCTGTATCAGATGCGTATGACTTACAGACCATTTCTACCAAGCTGCATTTTTTAAAAGAATTATTATTATTATTATTTTTTTTGGAGAGATTTTTTTTTTTTTTGCTATAGGGCGCGTGCGCTCGCCAGACAGAGAGAGACAGAAAGCGAGAAATCACCCCCCAGGGGGGATGGTCACGCCACAATCCCTTCTCCTCCATTCTCCTCTCGGGATCTTGGGCACGCACGCACACGCGCCCGGCGTGAGTTTAAGCCACCGGGTCCGGGACGTGAACCGTGGTCGACTACGGGGGGTGTCCAGTGACATAGCCATTATGCTAACTGCTGGTCCCAAGAATTATTTAATTTTTAAAATCATTATTATTATTTTTTAGTTTGCTACAGGGCACGCGTGCTCACCGGAGAGAGGTGCAACGTGAGAAAGCAAGCAGCCATGTCCAGGACTGGCATCGTAGTGGGCCATGTGGGAGTCCAGTGCCCCAGTGATCACACCACCTGCTGGCCCTTCTGTGAATTATACTTTGACTCCCTTGATCACGCTGCGTCCTTTGAGGCACAGAAAGTTTGAATTCTGATGTCCAGTTTATCCGTTCTTTCCTTTGATTGCTTGTGCTTTTGGTGTGCACATATTCTTTAGTGGGGTCAGCAGGTGGCGTGGTGGTTAAGATTTTGGATCCCACCCGGCTGACACCTCTGTTGAAGTCCTAGACTGGCAGCTTGAAAATCGCACTGGGCACAAGTGTGTGCATCTCCAGAATCCTGAGAAGAGAATGCAGGAGAAGGGATTGCACGATGGCCGTCCCCCGGGGAGTGGTTTCTTACTTTTGTATGTGTGCTCACTTGTGCACACTCTGGCTCACTCTCACTCTCTGTCTCTCTCCAGCGAACGCACGCACCCTATAGCAAAAAATTTAAAAAATGCTTTTTAGTATTAGCAGTGGCATTTAGGTTTTGGCCCATCTTCATTCTTAATTCTCACAGAATCCTTGTCAAAAACCAGTTGATCACAGTCGGACTGACTGACTTCTGTACTCCTAGCTCTGATCCATTGATCGGTTCTGTCTTCCTGTCAGCACTGCACTGGCTGATTGCAGTCTCTCTCATAGCTTTTGAAACAGGGAAGTCTCAGTCCTCCAGTTTTATTTTTTCTTTGCAAGATTGCTTTGGCCATTTTGTGTCCCTTGCCTTTCCGGATCTGCGTAAGCATCATCGTGTCCGTTTCTGCCAAGGTAGGGAGCTGAGATGGCGCGCGCTGCTGGAGAGCGTTGGCATCCTAACGCCGTGTCCCACTAAGTATGGAGGCTGGCCGTTTATTTAAGTCGTCTTTAATTTCTTCTCACGGCATTCGACAGTTTCCAGTGGAGACATCTTGTACTTTTTTACAAAGCGTATTCCTATTTTGGTGGTATTATTAGTGTACGAGTTTCCTCATTCCATCTGCAGTTACTTACTGCTATTGTGTGGGAGAGTAGTTGACCCCACACATTGGCCTTGCTCCTGATCATTTCTCCGAGCCTGCTCATTAGCCCTAAAGATTGCTGTGGGTTCCTCAGGGCTTCCTTCCTGTAAGGTTACGCCAGGCCACGCAGAGCTCCTTCCTTCTCCCTCCCCGTGTACCTGTAGTCGTGTGCTTCTGTGTGAGTTAGGGAACGGAGGACAGCCCATGTCACAGCACCTAAGCGCTGCGCAGGACTTGAGGGACACTGCACTGTGGGACCGGTGGTCCTTAAGCCGTCTCTCTTCTCTCACCCCTCGTGTCTCTGTGAGACTGATTGCTCTCTGTCGATGTCTCTTCTTTCATCCCTCGTGTCTCTGTGTGAGACTTGATTGCTCTCTGTCGATGTATGTCCACGTCAGCAGTACATTTGGCTCTGAAAAATGAAACAAAGGGATCATGTTATCATGAATATCAGAACAAGAAATGAATTCATGTTGGGGCCAGCAGACGGCGGTGTGGTTAAGGCGCTGGAATTTCCACGTGGCCAACCATGGTTCCACTCCCAGTCTTGGTGCTTTGCTTTCTCACTCTCCCTCCCTTTCTCTCTCTCTGACTTTCTCTGCCAAAACTCATGTGGAAAAAACCAATAGTAGTAAATAAATAAATAAAACAAATAATTCTTTTAAAAAAAGGAAATGAATTTGTGTAATTTTTTTTTTTACTTTAAGCCTAGATACCGTTGTATTTCCTGTTAATGTTTAAATAACAGGAGAAATAAAGAGCTCATTATTAAATTCCCTACTTGAGTTTGTTGTTAAGCAAGTCAGGCTTGTGAATGACAGTTAAGGGGTCTCGTTCTTATTATTTGGACATTCCGACATATTTAACAAATACTTACTATTGAAGTGCGTTCATTTCATTTGCCTTTTGAAAAATCGTCTCGTATTTTTAGCATTAATTTAAAAATTCCTGCCTTTTTTTTTTTTTTCCTAATGGTAGATATAACTCGGAAAAATCCCAGAACACCTCTTTCTGATCTCCAAGGCATGAATACCCTGAATGAAAAGCACCAGCAGTAAGTATGCTCGGTTGTATGTTTATGGGGTTAGCGAAGGTAGTGACTGCGGGGCTGTGGAGAAAGGCAGGGTGCGTTCCTGCACAGGGAGACACAGGAATGCATCATGGCTTTCCCAGCCACCAAGTAGTGTTCTTATTAATGTGTTCCTGACTTGGAGAGTGTGAAGAAAGTCAGGCTTGATTTGTGCTTTTATTTCCTAAAGCTTTATAAATGTAAAAAGTAAGTTCATAGTTTAGATTTAACAAATTTTTGGGACCAGCAGTTACCGTGATGGCTATGTCACTGGACTCCCACGTAGTCGACCGCAGGTCGTGTCCCGGACCCGGTGGCTTAAACTCACGCTGGGCGCGTGTGCGTGCGTGCCCAAGATCCCAAGAGGAGAATAGAGGAAAAGGGATTGCGGCGTGACCATCCCCCCAGGGGGTGATTTCTCGCTTTCTGCCTCTCTGTCTATCTCTGTCTTTCTGGCGAGTGCACGCACCTTATAGCAAAAACCTCTCAAAAAAAGAAAAAAAGAAAAAAAAAGAAAAAGAATGGCTTGTCATTGAAATGAAGGTGTAATTTCATGGGGTCCCTTTTTTTCAGTTGACTTAACTGTGTCTTTCTAAAGTGTATTGGTTACTTTTGTGCTCAGTAACTTGCTTACAACTCTATTTTTTTCATTATTTATTTTATTTCACTATTTTTTTTTTAAAGTTTGCTATAGGGCACATGTGCTCAACAGAAAGAGAGAGAGAAAGCAAATTAACAGGTCTGGGACGCATACCGTGGTTGACCACAGAGAGAGAGAAAGAAAGTGAGAAACGAAGCCACCAGATCTGGGCCTTGAACCGTGGTAGGCTGTGTGGGAGTGCAGTGCCTTCACCACGGTGCCACTTGGCCCCTCTTATGACTCTTTAATGCTTATTTTAAAAAGTGCAGGTTCGTCGGCCTCGAGTGTCCAGCTGTGAATACACCCGCTCACAGCAGAGGGGGCCATTTCCTGTCTTCCAGTGTGCGATCTGTAATTTTCGGTGATGCTTGGTTCACGGTGAAGCTGTCTCCATCCTAGCATGCCACATTTGGCCTGACGACAGATTAGATCATTAATCTTTTCCTTTTTCCTTTTTTCTTTTTTTTGGGAGAGGTTTTTGCTATAGGGTGTGTGCACTCTCCAGAAAGACAGAGAGAGACAGAAAGCAAGAAATCACCCCCCGGGGGGATGGCCACACCACATTTTACAGAGTAGTTTAATGGTTTTCAGTTTTCCAGTTGTCTGGGTTTTTTTGTGTGGACTCTCGATTTTGGATACCTGAAGTGGTCTGTGTTGGTTTCTGGCCTCTATGCATTGGTTAAACTAGTCTGACATCTTGGTTTAAGGTTGGTCAGCTGGTAGCTGGCAGGTGGCGTGGTGGTTAAGGTGTTGTACTCCCGCATGGCCGGTTGTGGTCCGAGCCCTGGACCTGGCACCTTGCTTTCTCCCTCTCTGTCTCTTTCTGGTCAAATTAAAGAATACTAAATAAAAATAAATAATTCTTTAAAAAATAAGGTTGGTCATCTGGGCTGGTCTCAAGTAGTTTCCCGAGTTTAGGTACTCACAGAATGATGGACTGCTTTTGTGAAAGTCCGTATGTAAGCCCGTTTACGAGAGATGCTTTCAAAGGAACCCGGTCACAGCGCGGAGAGGCCCGAAAGTCCAAGTTGGTGGTGAGCTAGGACTGAGACTTGACTTGATCTGTACAGAAGGGGAGCGTGCGAACAGCAAGACTGTTCTTTGTGGGGTTTTTTAATTTGCTAGAGCATGCGTGGACTCACTGGAAAGAGAGCGGGAGAGAGGGAAGTGAGAAAACACCCCCATGGGGCATTGTCCCTCTGCAATCCCTCCCTTTCCATCCTCTTTCCTCTTATGATTTTGAGTTTGCATGCACAGCCTGGCATGTATTTTAAGCCGCCAGGTCCAGGGCTCGAACCACATAGTTGGCCATGTGGGATCCACCTGCTTAAGCCACCAGGTCACAGACTGGACCATGAAAACGTTCTTAACCAGTGTAAATGCTCATATAGTAGCGTTTGCAAATTGTCAAACCCAATAAAGAGGAAAACTATTCTATCATACTATTTCCGGGTTGTTGAATGAAAACGGTATGTAAAGATGTCATCTGGAGCCGGCAGTTGGTGTGGTGGTTGGGGCACTGGACTTCCACATGGCTGACCGTGGCAGGCTTGGCAGCTTGCTTTCACTCTCCCTTTCTGTCTGTCTCTTCCGGTCAAAATCGAAGAATAGCGATAATAAATAAAGTTGAAATGAATGTTAAAAGGATGTAGTCTGTGTGATGTGCTCACCCACATGCGCATTTTTATGTGAATGCACCAGAACCCACAGGGATCTTGTACTCTGAATGAGTAAAAAGTTAGTTTCAATTGATTGGTCGTTGTTCTGATGAAGTCATTTTCTCCTGGTTTAGCATTATCGTCTCCATTTTAACTTTACTATTTAAAAGGTTGGTTTTACTTCTTTAAGTGATACAGAGTGTAAACTAAAGGTGTCTTAGTTAACTCAAGAAAGTTTGCGTTTATTACAGTGAGACATTTGCTGTTGCCTGGAATGGAAGGACCGGGATTCACCAAAGCAGGCTATCAAGCAGCACCTCCTTGCTGGACAGAGACGGGGTGTTTGCTAACTCAGCGAGCAGCAAGCTTCTGGAGAGGGCCCACGGGATTCTCACGTCAGTACCTGTCCGTCACGCGGACTGCTTCCTAGCACTGATTGGACATTTTGGCTGCAGAAAGGCGGCAGGGAAATAAAGGAGTATTTTCAGGAGTAAAACTTTGACTAAGTAGTGTTCGGCATGTAGAGGTGTGAACCGCGTGGTCATAGGGCTGACTCATTGCCTTCTCCCCGGTACCCCAGGAGGGCAGTGCTCCAGTATGTCCCTCACGGAGAAGAGCTTTACTGCTGTCTGTAGACCCTAGTTCCAGAGGAAGGAAATATAATTAGCTTGTTTTTTGGGGGGAATTCCTAAGCTTAAATTGTCCGTTAATTCTGGCACTTTGAACAAATCGAGCCGAAAAAGTCACCTATAAATGATGAATGGGATCATTATAGAAATATACCACTTACCCAAGCTTGATAGTCCTTGTTACTGGATCTTAGAACTGATTTGAGGACACAGATTTAGCCATGCATAGCAGACCAGTACAAAGTTCTTAGTTACCAGCATTCGTTTATTTTAGAAAGATCCCAAACATATTTTTCCACTTCCCAGAGGTGATTGAATTAGACTCCTTAATTCATACCTAAACTATTGTTTAATGACACCCTCCCGTGTAGTGATAGTAACAGGCTTCGTGTATGTACGTCTTGCTTTACTCCTCAATTGTGTGTTCACTTATCTTAGCCGCACTACTTTTTTATATTATTTTTTTTTAAGAGGTTTTGCTACAGGGCGCATGCACTCGCCAGACAGAGAGAGACAGACAGAAAGCCAGAAATCACCCCCCAGGGCGGATGGCCACGCCGCAATCCCTTCTTCTTCATTCTTCTCTCAGGTGCACGCACATGTGCCCAGCGTGAGTTTCTTTTTTTCTTTTTAAGAATTATTTTGGGGGCCAGCAGTTAGCATAATGGCTATATCACTGGACTCCCATGTAGTCGACTGCGGTTTGAGTCCCAGACCTGGTGGCTTAAACTCAGGTCAGGCGTGTGTGTGTGCCCAAGATCCTGAGAGGAGAATGGAAGAAAAGGGATTGCAGTGTGGCCATCCCGCCTGGGGGGTAATTTCTTGCTTTCTGTCTCTCTCTTCCTGGTGAGTGCACACCCCCTATGACAAAAACCCCTCCCCCCCCAAAAAAAAAAAAAAAAAGATTCTGTTTAACTTTATTTATTTATTTATTTTAATTTGACCAGAGAGGGACAGAGAGAAAATGAGAAAGCAAGCTGCCAGGTCCAGGACTTGAACTGTGGTTAGCCATGTGAGAGTTCACGCATCCTTAACCACCCCGCCACCTGCAGGCCCCAGTCCTCGCAGCTCTTAGAATTAGGTGGAATTCCCATCTTCATTTGGCATAATTACGTAATGACGCCGAGGCTTGGCGACAATGCAGTCATACTCTAGTGGGTTATATTAGATTACTTCCCAGCCCATATTCATGAGCATTAGACACTTTTTCCATTAATTTCTGATGTTGTAAAAAAAAATAAAAAAACAAAGCTTAAAAAGCATGATTTCAGTGTCATACTGAGTTGTGAATAGGAGGGGGGAAAAGGAGAATAGAGGAATTTTTAATTTCCAAAAATAAATTACGTTTTGGTGAAAAGTGTATTTTTGCAAACTCATGAAAGTTAGGCATCTCAATGAAGGTCTTGAAATGACAGGAGTAACCCTTTGTAGGTGTAAGGAAGCAGAGCAGAGCCCACCTGACATCCAGGAAATGAGGTTGTATTCAGAACGCCCAGCGTTCTATTACCGAGCATCGGGTTTGAGCCTGCTCATCGCCTGTATTGCAGGGCAGGCATCTCTTACCCCTTTTCTTACCCTATTTACCCGTCCTTTCCAAAGGTTCCTGCTTGGTTAAATCGGGTAGTATTTTCCAGTAGAGGACCTACGTTCTTAGGAATGGGTATATATGCTTTCAGTAGAAACCTTGAACTCACTCATCTCGAACTCAAAACTTTTTCCAATGAATGATTTCTCTTTATAGGAGAAACAAAAATTTCAAATCCAAGCCTGTTCTTCCAAAGGTGAGTATTATGAACACTTTTCTCCATTGGTCCTTAATGCATGTTTTTTTATTACTTATGCAAACAGTCTTTACAAATCAAAGATAAGAAATACCTTATATGTGTCCAGGATAGGGATTAATTGTATGCACTTAGTTAACTATTTTAGAAATAATCCTGACTGTTACAGAAAGATTTAACCTCAGGACCAGCAGTTAGCATAAAGGCTATGTCACTGGACTCCCATGTAGTCGACCACGGTTCGAGTCCTGGACCCCGTGGCTTAGACTCACGCCGGATGCGTGTGCGTGCGTGCCCAAGATCCCAAGAGGAGAATGGAGAAGGGATTGCGGCATGGCCATCCCCCGGGGGGGTGATTTCTCGCTTTCTATCTGTCTCTCTCTGTCTTTCTGGCGCACGCACTTGCCCTATAGCAAAAAAACTCCAAAAAAAAAAAAAACCTTAAATTCAAAACAATTTTTAAAAAAAGATGTAGCCTAATGATTCAGGTAGATACTCATTTGTGATATACCATTTTCTATTATTTTAAAAACTCACTAATATAAATATAAATCTTTGTTTTTAAAGATCTTTACATAATGTATTTGTATTTTTCCTTGAGCCAGGTTAAGATTAAATTCTGAATTTTACCTAATTTAATTTTTCTTTTCTTTTTTGGAGAGGTTTTTGCTATAGGGCACATGCCCTCACCAGAAAGACAGAGACAGAGCAAGAAATCACCCCCCAGGGGGGATGGCCATGCCGCAATCCCTTCTCCTCCATTCTCCTCTCGGGGTCTTGGGCACGCATGCACACCCACCCAGCATGAGTTTAAGCCACTGGGTCCGGGACTTGAACTGCGGTCGACTACATAGGAGTCCAGCAATATAGCTATTATTCCAACTGTTGGTCCACAAATAGTTTCTTGTTTATTATTTTTTTAAATAATTATTTTATTTATTTATCTTTGAGAGAGATTTTTGCTATAGGGCATGTATACTCACCAGAGAGATAGTGAGAAATTACACCCACCCACCCCCACCCTCCCGAGAGGATGGCCATGCCATAATTCCATCTCCTGCGTTCTCCTTTTGGGATTCTGGGTACACGTGCACACATGTCCAGCGTGAGTTTCAAACCTCTGGGTCCAGGACTCAAACCACAGTCTGCCACATGGGAATCCAGCACCATAACCACTACACCACCTACTGGACTCTGTTATTATTTTTTAAATTTGCTATAGGACATATGCACTCATCAGAGAGAGAGAAAATAAGAAAACAAGCCGCCGGGTCTAGGACTCAAACTGCTTTTGGCCGTGTAGGAGTCTAGCAACTTTACTACCATACCACCTGCTGGCCCTTAAAATAATTTTTAATCGAGACCAGTGGTTGGCATAATGGCTGTCACTGGACTTCCGTGTAGTCGACTGTGGTTCAGGTCCTGGACCCGGTGGCTTAAACTCTCGTCAGGCGCCAGTGCATGTGTGCCCAAGATCCCAAGAGGAGAATGGAGGAGAAGAGATTGTGGTGTGGCCATCTGCCCTGGGGGGTGGTTTCTCACTTTCTGTCTCTTTGTCTCTCTCTGTCTTTCTGGCAAGTATACATGCCCTATAGCAAAAGCCTCTAAAAAAAAATAATTTTTAATTGTACTTACTTAATTCTCATCACATGGATGTGGATGTTTGATTATGAACTGAAATTACATCCGGAACTCCAGATGCAAGAGACTCTGGGGAAATGGAGTCTTCTTTCTAGCTTTCTTGATCCTAGAGAAGGCCAAAGAGCAGAATGGATGTTTTAGTGTCTGTGTTCCATATTCGTCACAGTCATGTAAGACAGGAAATGACTGGGTAGATTGGAAATGGGCTGAGAACTTCCTTCTTAGATTAATTTATGTGAATAATGTTTTTTCCTCTTCTTTTTAGCATTTGCTAGAGGTAAAATCTTTAAAGCACCTGACAAGGCTAACCCTGCAGGATCGGATTACCAAGTCGCTTCTTCACTTGCACAAGAAGAAGAAGCCGCCCAGCATCAGCGCCCAGTTTCAGGTTACTTCCTGTCCTACCCCCACCACAGAAGGACGCATGTCTCAGACTGGCAGGGAAAGGGCAGGGCGATCACAGCATGCTTGGATGGGGTGATGCGTGTGACTACAAGTTGTGCTTTAACAGTCATTTTGTAAGGAAGAACGAGAGAGAAAGCAGTTTTCTGATGACCTCTTCTATCATTCTCAAATCCTCTCTCTCTAAAGTTATAATCATTTGTTACATATTTATGAAAATAAGCAGAGAATCTGGTGGATGGCAGTTCTGTGCATGATTTCACTCTTGCACACATGTATCACAGAAGCAGTGTTCACTGTGTGCCTGGTGTGTTTAAGGTGGACCCAGGATCCGAACTCCTGGTCTTCCGTGTGGCTTCAGCATTGCAGAGTGGGGCCCTATGCCTATACCACCAAGGCTCAGGCTCACTCATTATTAGAGGCAAAGCCCGCTATAACAGATTTTATGAGAAGATAGTTTGCTTCTAGCACCGAGCAGTAGATCGGTGATTGCTGGAGCTGTGGGAAGAACAGTTACTGCCTGAAAAGGCAGAGGAAGCTTGTTGGGGTGAGAGAAGACTTCTAAAGCTGGATATGGTGATAGCTCCATGTCTGTGTACACATACCGACATATGTAAATCACACACAGGACTGTGTAAACGTACTGACACATGTAAATCACACGCATGACTGTAAACGTACTGACATATGTAAATCACACACATGACTGTAAACGTACTGACATATGTAAATCACACGCATGACTGTGTAAATGTACTGACATGTAAATCACACACATGACTGTGTAAACGTACTGACATGTAAATCACACACATGACTGTGTAAACGTACTGACATATGTAAATCACACACGACTGTAAACGTACTGACATATGTAAATCACATGCATGACTGTGTAAACGCACTGACATATGTAAATCACACACGACTGTAAACGTACTGACATATGTAAATCACACACCACAGTGCGTGTATTTTAGTAGTACCTAGACTATTTCAGCGAAACTGGCGCACATGAAGTCACCATTAGAGAATGAAAGGACACAAGCCCCAGGGTTTTAGAGTACACTTACAGTGCATCTGAGAACAAGTGTGTGTGGCGTGTATAGAGACTCAAACACTAGGTTTTTTTTTTTTTTTTTAAGAATTATTTGATTTTAATTTTATTTATTGATTTATTTGTTTTAATTTGACCAGAGAGGAACAGAATGAGGGGGTTAGGGGGCAGGGAAAAAGCAAGCCACCAGGTCCGGGACTCAAACCACAGTCAGCCACGTGGGAGTCCAGTGCTCTTAACCACCACGCTAGCTGCCAGACCCCACTTACTAGTTTTTAAAAAGATAATCAGATAGCTAAATGAGTAAGAATCTTGAAAAAGGAGTTTATAAATGATGGTATTCAAAAGACCAATAAGCCTATCAAAACCTGTTCAACATGATTTATCAGGGAAATAAAAATTAAAACTGCAAGATAATTATATACTTTGTAATGTGGTTTGAAATAAAAAAAAGATTCTACAAAGTGCTGATGAGGACGGTACAGAGTGACCAGAGCTCCTGCACACTGCTGTTGAAATCTAGATTGCTGTGTGCACTCTGCAGAGCAGTTAAAGAGCACGTATGAGACCGTTCATCAAGCCAGCCCCATAGCCTCATGGTTGAGGGAGCCAGATCCCACATGACCGACTGCAGTTCCAATTTGTAATCCCTAGAGTAGCCACTGAACAGCAGCACAAAGACTTAACCGACACGCCCCTAGATAGGTTCATCTAACATACTCAGATATATTAAATGGGAGGAAGAACACTTCACCAAAGAAGATGCACAGATGCCAAGCCTGTGCGTCGTTAGGGATTGATAGAACAGAAGAGAGACAGCACTACACAGCCAGTGCAATGGTGGAAGTCCAGACGGCGTCAGGCGCCAGTGGGGATGTGGAGCGCGGCGAGTCTCTCACTCACTCATGGTGGGGACACAGATGGCACGTCCGCTTTGGAAGTCAGTCTGGCAGTTCAGGTAATACTTACAGAACCAAAATTACTTCTGAGGCCAGCAGGCGGCATGGTGGTTAAGGCAGCTGGACTCCCACAGGGCAGGTTGCAGTTCAAGTCCCAGAGCTGACAGTTTGAAAATCACACTGGGCACGTGTGCGTGTATTCCCAAAATCCTAGAAAGAGAATGGAGGAGAAGGGATCGCAACATGGCTGTCCTCTCTGAGGGGTAATTTCTCACTTTCCCTGTCACAGTCTCTGTTTCTCTCTGGCACACATATGCTCTAAGACAAAAATCCTAATTTAAAAAATTTAAATAGCAGAAAATAAAATAGAATTACTGTGTGATCTACCATTTGCACTGCTTGGTATTTACTCAAATTAGTTGAAAACGTAACGTTTACACAAACCCTTGTGCAGACCTTTAAGGCAGCTTTACTCATAATAGCAAACCTTGGAAGCAGCCGTTTTCAGAAGTTGAATGGCTAAATGGTGGTTTACCCATGGAACAGTATTATTCAGCAGTAAAGTGAAATGAGCTATCAGACCATGGAAAGCTAGAGAGGAAACTCAAGTACATACTGCCAAACGAAAGCAATCTGAAAAAGTTGTGTAGCTCATGATTCTAACTATATGGCATTCTAGAAGAGGCAAGCTGTATGGAGGCAGTGAGAAGAATAGTAGTTGCCAGGGGTGGGAGAGGGAGAGAGAGAGAGAGAGCTGAGTAGCCAGAGCACAGAGGGCTCGTGGGCCGTGGGCCGTGGGCCGTGGGCCGTGGCCGGACCTGCGGGATCTGCCATGGTGAGTGCACGTCTGCCCGGGCGAGAGTCTTCCAGACTGCCCAGCCCTACTGCCGTTGGTGGACTGGGGGGTAAGGTAGCAGTGTTGCGTCATCGCTCACAGCAGAGCGGCCACACTGATGCAGCATGTTTATAACAGGAGAGATGGGGAGGAGGAGGTTTTGAAGGGGTGCATGGGGACTCAGTCCTGCTCATTTTTGCTGTGAACCTGGAACTTCTCTAAAAAAAAGAAGTCTGTTTTGAAAAGTCAGGAGTGGAGAGGAAGAGTACAGAAGAGAGAGGGTGAGCAGAGAGCAAGTAGTACAGTGTGGGCCTTAAGCAGCCACATCAGTCACTACATTGACTCTCAGTGAGTGCCCCGAGCACTCCTGCTCAGTAGTGGGTACAGTGTGGGCCTTAGAGTAGGTGGCCGGAGCACGCCGGCTGAGTAGTGGGTACAGTGTGGGCCTTAAGCAGCCACATCAGTCACTACATTGACTCTCAGTGAGTGCCCCGAGCACTCCTGCTCAGTAGTGGGTACAGTGTGGGCCTTAAGCAGTCACATCAGTCACTACATTGACTCTCAGTGAGTGCCCCGAGCACTCCTGTTCAGTAGTGGGTACTGGCAGCTCACAGCAAACCGGAGACCCGACTGTCTGCAAGAAACGTCTGTAAATACAGTGATACTCAAAGTTGGAATGTAAAGAACGAGAAATTGGGGACGGGGGAGAAGAAGCAAGATATGTAAGAAATAAGAAGTTGAAAATTGCTTGCTGACAGTCACACACATGGTAATACCCTTGCCTGAGCCGGTATGCAGTGTCCTCTGGGTGGGCATCTCATTCCGTGTACTGTAGTGGTGCACAGCGGATGGGTGTGAACAAATACATTTAAAATGAAAAAAGATTTTCTTGCACCCAAATCATGCAAACTTTAATTGTATTTTTCAATGGACTTTTTGAAGTCTGTGATTTCTTAAAATAAAAAGTATGCCCTAGTGAATCCTTTAAAAAAAAAAAAAAAAAGTGAAAAATGTTTGCCTTTCTTCCCAGGAATGGTAGGATTACACCTCTCTCTAACAGATTGAGTTGGTGTGGTGTATTATTTCTTATCAAAGTGACAGCTTTAGGGCCTTGAGCCAGTAATGTTCACCATGTATAAGAAAGTCTGACACATATTGTACGATCTCAATTAAATAGTTAATATATACACACACATATATGCATTATATACATATATATACACACACACACACACACATCTATATATAATGCATGGTTTTTTTTCTGTAATGCATATATTAATTTTTGAAAGAAAAGTTTTGGGCCAGCTGGTCGTGTGGTAGTTAAGGTGCTGGACTCCCAAGTGGTTGACCATGGGTTGAGTCCTGGACCCGAGGGCTTGAAAACCTTGTTAGGTGTGTGCATGTGTGCCCAGAACCCTGAGAGGAGAGGAAAGGGACTGCACATAGCCATCCCCCAGAGGGTGATTGCTCACTTTCCCTGTGTCTCTGTCCAGCAAATACACATGCCCTTTGGCAAAACCTAAAATAGTAACAGTAATAATAAACAAACAAAAAATGAAGACTACTTAAGCAAAAATGAAGAAGAATAAACCGTGCAAACACTGAAAGAGGCTAGAATGGACATGGTCGTGTCAGAGTGGGCTCCAGAGCCAAGAAGACAAGCAGTAAGAGGGCTATTTCGTGATGCTAAAAGGGGCACTTTAAGAGCATGTGACAGTCAATTTATCCAATCACAGAGCTTTCAGATACCTGAACCCCAAAACCCACAGATCTAGAAGGAAAACGTGGGCCAACCTCTAATTTTGTTTGGAGATTTTAGCACGCTTCTTGGTAATTGTTAGAGTAAGTAGAGAATTAGGAAGGATCTGGAAAACTTGAACAGCACCATTAATCTAGCTGGCCTAAATGAAATTTATAGAGCATTCTACTCAGCAGCTGTAGGGAATACATTTATTTTAATTGCTTGTGGGACACTTTCCATGATCAAAAACTAGACCATAAAACAGACCTTAAGCAAATTTAAGAGAGTTAAAATCATACAAAAATGTTTTATTTGATTGTAATGGAATCAAATAAATCAAAGAAAGATAATACTAAATATTTGGAAAATGAAGAAACTTCTAATACATGAGTCAAAGAGGAAAGAAAACTCTCAAATATATTAAATGAGATGAAATAGCAAACTTTGTGATGTATAGCTCACGTAGTGCTCCCAGATTAGTTTGTAGCATTAAATTCATTTATTTATTTATCTTTATTATTTTTTTAGAGGTTTTTATTTTTTGCTATATGGTATGTGAGCTCGCCAGAGAGACAGAGAGACACAGAGAGACAGAAAGTGACAAATCACCTCCCAGGGGGGATGGCCACACCACAATCCCTTCTCCTCTGTTCTCCTCTTGGGATCTTGGGCATGCATGTGCACACATCTCATGCGAGTTTAAGCCACTGGGTCCAGGACTCAAACTGCAGTCAACCACATGGGAGTCCAGCAACATAGTCATTATGCCAACTGCTGCTCCCTAAACTCTTATTAAAAAAGGAGATAAGGAGCCGGCAGGTGGCGTGGCAGTTAATTAAGAGTGCTGGACTCCCACGTGGCCGACCGCAGTTCAAGTTCCAGACTTGGTGGTTTGCTCTCTCTCTCTCTCTCTCTCTCTCTCGTCCACGCGCTCTCACTCACTCACTCACTCTATCCCTCTCTGGTCAAATTAAAATAAATAAAGTTAAATAATTCTTAAAGGAAAAGGAGATAAAATCTCAAATCCATAATCTAAGCTTACACTAGAGAAGCATGTTAAACCCAAAGCAAGAAGATAGGAATAAACGTAGCACTAGAATGCAGTTAAATCAAAAACAGAGAAAGAGTAGAGAAAAATCATTGCAATCAAAAGCCAGTTCTTAGAACTGGCATAAAAAATTTACAGATTGGCAGTCAGACTGATCAGGAAAAAAGTGACAAAGTGTAAATGACCATTATTAAGAATAGGGGACCAGCAGATAACATAATGGTTACGTTGCTGGACTCCCATATAGTCGACCGCGGTTTGGGTCCTGGACCCGAAGGCTTAAAACTCACTCTGGGTGCATGTGCATGCATGCCCCAAATCCCAAGAGGAGAATGGAAGAGAAAGGATTGTGGTATGGCTATCACCCCTGGGGAGCAGAGTGATTTCTCGCTTTCTGTTTCTCTCTCTCTCTCTCTGTCTCTGGTGAGTGCGCATGCCCTATAGCAAAAATCTCTCAAAAAAAAAAAAAAAAAAAAGAAAGATAATGAAGGAAGACCCTTGGGAACCAGCAGTTAGCGTAATGGCTATGTCGATGGACTCCCACGTAGTTGACCACGGTTCACGTCCCGGACCCGGTGGCTTAAAACTCACACCGGGCGCGTGTGCGTGCGTGCCCAAGATCCCAAGAGGAAAATGGAGGAGAAGGGATTGCGGCGTGACCATCCCCCCTGGGGGATGATTTCTCGCTTTCTGTCTCTGTGTGTCTCTCTGTCTGGCGAGCGCACGCGCCCTGTAGTGAAAAAAACCTCTCCAAATAAAAAAAGATCCTTAACTGCTTGTCTGCAGGCATTCCAGTGAAGCACGCAGTGCCAGAGCAAGGATCAGGAGTGCCACCTCACCTGCTGTCCTGGGGGAATCAGAGGTGGTACGCGTTGCGCAAGATCGTTCCATGAAATGTGAAGAAGAGTGAAGAAGTTATTTCGTACTAGGATTATGTGTAATGATACCGTAATATATATTACATGTGTACATTAACTATGGAATAATACAAAATTTTCACATATTTGCGAATAATTTCCAGACTGCGTGTGCTTGCAAGAGAGAGAGGAGGGAAGGCACCCTCCCAGTGGGACATGCTTATGCCACAGTCCTTTCTCTTCCAGGTCTTCTTCCTGTCAGGGTTTTAGGAGTGTGTGCACACATGCCAAGTGTATCTTTTCAGTCAGTGGGGTCAGGATTCGAACCCTCAGTCAGCCATGTGGGATCTGACTCCACATGTACGGGGCTTAACCCACTGCATTGTGGGGCCGGCCCTCTCCTGCAATGTTTCGACGGTCAGCTTTAATAAACTACCATCATTGTCTGTATTTAACCAGCATGAGAATGAACACAATTTGCTTCTCAGAAACAAACCCCTTTCTTTGTTTACCGTTAGTTTTGTATATCTTGCCAAAGTTGTCCTTTACATTTACAGATCATCTCGTGCCAGCTGGAAGGGAGAGCGTGCCAGTAACATTGCTTTGTTTTGCAGGCGTCACTGAGTAAGCTGATGGAGACACTCGGTCAAGCAGAGCCGTATTTTGTGAAATGCATCCGCTCTAATGCTGAGAAGGTAAATGTCCCTGCCGGAGGGCAGGAAGCTCGGCTGACTTTAAGCTCTAAGTTTTTAAGGGTAACAAGTAGAGGGGGAGAGCTGTCTCTAATGTTCACAAGGAAAATACGTCCCATAAATAGTTTATATAGATATTTTTCTAATGCCCATTTGTGCCAGCCTATGAGGTCTTGTGGGTTTGATGTAGCATCGCCTAGAATTTAAGAAACAAATACTTCTTGAAGTATCATCAGAATAGTTCTTTTAGAGCCACCAGGGGGTGTGGTGGTTAACGTGCTGGATTCCCAGGCTGACTGTGGTATGAGCCCCGACCCGGCAGCCTGGAAATCATTCTGGGTGCATGTGCATTTCCGCATGCCCAGAACCCCAGGAGGGGAATGGAGAAGGGACTGTGGTATGGCCTCTCCTCCTCAGAGCAGTCTCTTACTTTCTCTTTCTGTCCTGTAAGTGCCCACTCCCTATGGCAAACACCAAAAATATTACTGATAATACAGTTTTATTTTATGAAACTTTAGTTGCTTTACTTTTTTAGGTTTTTGTTATAGGGTATATGCACTCACCAGAGAAAGAGAGGGAAAGTAAGAAATCACCCCCCAGGGAAGAGCCATGCTGCAATCCCCTGTCCCCATTTTTCCCTTGGGACTTGGGCACGCGCGCGCGCGCACACACACACACACACACACACACACACAAATTCACACACACACTTGCTGGAATATCTTCTAAGCTGCTAGATCCAGGACTTGAACCTTGGAGCCAGCCATGTGGCTTCCAGCATTCCAACCACCACACCACCCGCTGGCATGTTATCTGCTACTGAACTCTCTTTACAGAATTGCTTTGCATTTTACACGTTTAAAGATTCTTGTCAGTGGGACCAGCAGTTGGCATAATGGCTATGTCGCTGGACTCCCATGTAGGCGACCGCAGTTCGAGTCCTGGACCCAGTGTCTTAAACTCATGCCGGGCACATGTGCGTGCGTGCCCAAGATCCCGAGAGGAGAACGGAGGAGAAGGGATTGTGGCGTGGCCATCCCCCCTGGGGGTTGATTTCTTGCTTTCTGTCTCTGTCTTTCTGGCAAGTGCATGCACCCTATAGCAAAAACGTCTCTCCACCCCAAAAAAATAAACACACACACACGTGTGCATACACACACACGTTTTATGAATTTTTAAAAAAACGTTACACATGGATTTTTTTTTTTTTGGAGAGATTTTCACTGTAGGGCGCGTGCGCTCACCAGACAGACAGAGAGAGACATAGAGACAGAAAGCGAGAAATCACCCCCCAGGGGGGACGGTCACGCCGCAATCCCCTCTCTTCCATTCTCCTCTCGGGATCTTGGGCACGCACGCACACGCGCCCGGCGTGAGTCTCAAGCCACTGGGTCCGGGACACGAACCGCAGCCGACCATATGGGAGTCCAGCGACACAGCCATTACACTAACCGCTGGTTCCCAAAAAAACGTTACACATGGATTTTTGAACTGGCACAGAGGGTTGGGTGCCCCTACCTTCGATGTTGAAGGTTCAACTGTATATTCCTTCTGAGTTTTTAGTCTTCTCCCTCCCCACAGGGGAGCCTAGAAGCTTGGTGTCTCTTTTCCCTAGGGCCTGATAGTCAGAACTTATCTGTAGCTACCAGGTGGGAGGTGGGCTTGTCTATCGCCTTAGCTGTTTAACCAGACCAGCTCCAGTCAATCTCAAGATGACCACAAGTTAGTCATGCCAGACTACAGGTGCTAATTTGGAGGTCTGTTTTCTGGGTTAATCTTTTTCCCATTTGCTCTGTTCAGCTGCCCTTACGATTCAGTGATGCCTTGGTACTTAGGCAGCTCCGATACACTGGGATGCTGGAGACAGTTCGAATCCGCCAGTCAGGATACAGCTCCAAATATCCTTTCCAGGTTATGCATTTCTATTGATATTTAAATATATATGCACACTACGTCATTATCTTACTATTTCTTTGGTGCTCATTTTAAAAATTGCCCTTCTTTCTTTCCATTTTACCTCTTTTAAAAAGAAAGCAGGGGCATGTGCGCATGGCAGGGGTGGGCGGCTGGGTTCCACTTAGTTCCTGGTTTGAGCACAGGGCAGGCCCTCCGTTCTGCCTTTTGTACGTGGAATTGACGAGGGGTAGAGTACTTGCTCCCACCGAATGGCAGCAGTCTTTTTTAAGCCTGTGTTGTACTAGAGTCCGTTACCTGGCTGTCCTCCTTTGATGCGAATGTTTGCTGATATTTAAGTTTACTCATAACAGTACTGTTGATTCACCCGGAATTCTCTTGGCCAGGAAGCTGCCGGTGAGGTGCACAGGTGCTCTTGCCAGCTGCTACGGCTAGGCACGCAGGCCGCGGGGACGGCTTTCAGCAGCTGAGCCCGTCTGTGCTGCGGGTGGCAGCGGAAGTGTCATTCCCAGTTAGACCCTGTGATGGCTAGCGTGCTCATTGTTCTTACGCTAAAAATGTCAGGTTCTTGTGAGTAGCTCTGTTTGGTCTTGATAATACAGCTTTCTCCAAAGGGATAATTAGCTCCTGCCCTTCTCCCGTCCCCTTTGGTGACATACTGTGCTGGACTCGCTATTTCCCTCATTAGGTTTCTCTAACTTTTTATGATATTTAAAGTAGGCACTTGAAGGGCCTTCCCCTAATGAGAAAAGCCTTAATAAAGGGGGTAGTTAGCTAGTCTCAGACCGCGTTTGCGTACAGTTCTCTTGGCGTTTACATTCTCTCTTCATTTTTCAGGATTTTGTGAGCCACTTCCATGTACTTCTTCCCCGAAATATTATTCCATCCAAATACAACATTCAGGATTTCTTCAGGAAAATAAATCTTAACCCAGATAATTACCAAGTTGGGAAAACCATGGTAAATACTATGTATATAACCCTTGTCAAAATTGAGTGCTTGTTTATGTTTAAATAGTGATGATTGCCTATGAGAATGTTTATTGAAAATATAGGTATGTCTGGGACCAGCAGTTGGCGTAATGGCTGTGTCGCTGGACTCCCATGTAGTCGACCGCGGTTCGAGTCCCGGACCCGGAAGCTTAAACTCACACTGGGTGCGTGTGCGTGCGTGCCCAAGATCCCGAGAGGAGAATGGAGGAGAAGGGATTGCGACGTGACCATCCCTCCTGGGGGGTGATTTCTCGCTTTCTATCTCTATGTCTCTCTCTGTCTGTCTGGTGAGCGCACGCGCCCTATAGCAAAAACCTCTCAAAAAATATATAGGTATATCATTTATCATAAGGAATTGATGATTTTTAAAGAATAATTTTATTATTATTATTATTATTATTAATTATTATTTTTACAGAACTTTTTCACTCCCCAGAAAGAGACAGAGAGAGAGAAAGCGAGAAAGCAAGCCATTAGGTTGGGGACTCAAACCATGGTCAGCCATGTGGAAGTCTAGCTCCATACCCACTAAGCCTCCTGCTGTCCCTGAGGAAATGATCATTTACGAACACAGTCGGTATCAGTCATGGAGCTTAGGCTCGTGCTCCAACCCTGACTATGATCTCAGCCACCTAAACACCATCTCTCCTAGACAGTGTGCTGTGATCTCAGTCATGGAGCCTAGTCTCGTGCTCCAACCCTGACTATGATCTCAGCCTCCTAAACACCATCTCTCCCTAGACAGAGTGCTGTGATCTCCAGCACCGCTTGCCCAGAGCAGCCTCACCCAGACTCCTGCAAGTGCCCCTAACTTACCAGTCACTCTCTTTTCTTTGTCACCTTTCTTCTATTTCCTTAGGCTAGAAATCATAACCACCTCTGGCTTACCCTTTAACCGTCTTGAAAAGTTCTGTTTTGGACCAGCCAGGTGACACCGTGGTTAAAGCCAGTAGATCCCACATGGCTGACGGTGCACTTTGAGTCCCAGGCCTGGCGGTTTGAAAAACCGCATTTTTTTGAGCATGTGTACATGTGTGCCCAGAATCCCAAGAGGAGACTGCAAGAGAAGGGGTTGTGGTGTGGTCATCCCCCCTGGGGATGCTTTCTCTCTCTCTCTCTGCCTTTTTTCCCTGTTTTTCTTTGGCAAGTGCATGAACCCTCTAGGAAATTTCTTTCAAAAAGTTTTCTTCTTTTTTTACCTTCAGAGGATTCTCCGATCTCTCTCTCCCTTCCCGTCCCCATTGTGTCCTTATCCCCATCTTTGGCTCCTCTCACCCACGTGCTCGCAGGGTAAAGCCTGCTCCCTGGACTCTGCCTGTTTGTCACTCCAGGTCACGGGCTCTGCTTGGAACCTTAAGTCACTGTCTTCCTGTGCTTTTTACATCGGCCTCCTGCTCAGTGCCCGGATAACCTCCTCATGAAATTCGAACATCTTTCTCTTTTTCAAGGACCTCCATATTGTGACTTCAAACTATTTAATATCTTTTTTACAACAGTTAATTTCTCCATTGTCTCCTGCTGCCTCATTGCTTTCTGACCCGTGCTACCCCAGCGGAACCCTCTGTCTCTCCCGCATACTGGCCTTCTCTTTGCCTCTTTGGGTATACAATATTTACCTGCTCTTAAAGGTAAAACGCAAATCCCTTTTCCACAGGTATGTGTCCATTTTAACTTTGTTCCCCTTTAAAGTCCTAAGGAGTTATTAGTGGAATGAAGGAGTAGATAAAAAAAGATTAATTATTAAGAAACCTTTAATACCTGCTGGGTTCCAAAAAGACTGCTGTCATTACTGTATTCTTGTTATGATCAAGCTTCAAGATCTGTGTTCTCAACTTTCTTTCTCCCACCCCAGTGTCCTTGGAAAGTGCAGTGCAGCCCCAGCAGCACGCAACTCCTCAGGGCTGTGGTTCTCCCTGGCGATAGTGTGTTATGCCTCACACTGGATTTTCTGTCCTCTGGCCGCCTTCCACTGCCCCTTTCATGTCCTGGTACTCGTTCAACTTGATGACCGCTTTGGATAAATCTGTAGAAACATTTGTCAGTACTTCGTTCACATGTTACATGCCACTGTCCTCTTCTCTTCTTGACACAGGAAGGACGGTGTGTGAGTGAGTTTCTCATTTCTGTCTTCTCAAGCTGCATTCCTTATGTGTCTTCCTTCTGGTAGGTCTTCCTAAAGGAACAGGAGCGCCAGCGCCTACAAGACCTGCTCCACCGAGAGGTGCTCCGCAGGATCACTGTGCTGCAGCGCTGGGTCAGGGTCCTGCTGTGCAGGCAGCACTTCCTCCAACTGAGACAGGCGTCCATTGTGGTCCAGGTGGGAGCACAGGCTTCTTGGCACGGTTGACTGGCTTATACGGCCTTTCTCTAGTAGCCAGCACTGTTTCCCTGTTACACATCAAGTGACATTGTAAGCTTCGTCGATGAGAATGCACTGTACAAGTTTGCAGTGCTTGTAGCACCCCGCGTATTGCCCGGCATGCAGTCGCGCTGGGTTTTAATTAAGCTCGATGTGTAGTTGAGAGAAAGCGAGAAAGCAAGCCATTAGGTTGGGGACTCAAACCATGGTCAGCCATGTGGAAGTCTAGCTCCATACCCACTAAGCCTCCTGCTGTCCCTGAGGAAATGATCATTTACGAACACAGTCGGTATCAGTCATGGAGCTTAGGCTCGTGCTCCAACCCTGACTATGATCTCAGCCACCTAAACACCATCTCTCCTAGACAGTGTGCTGTGATCTCAGTCATGGAGCCTAGTCTCGTGCTCCAACCCTGACTATGATCTCAGCCTCCTAAACACCATCTCTCCCTAGACAGAGTGCTGTGATCTCCAGCACCGCTTGCCCAGAGCAGCCTCACCCAGACTCCTGCAAGTGCCCCTAACTTACCAGTCACTCTCTTTTCTTTGTCACCTTTCTTCTATTTCCTTAGGCTAGAAATCATAACCACCTCTGGCTTACCCTTTAACCGTCTTGAAAAGTTCTGTTTTGGACCAGCCAGGTGACACCGTGGTTAAAGCCAGTAGATCCCACATGGCTGACGGTGCACTTTGAGTCCCAGGCCTGGCGGTTTGAAAAACCGCATTTTTTTGAGCATGTGTACATGTGTGCCCAGAATCCCAAGAGGAGACTGCAAGAGAAGGGGTTGTGGTGTGGTCATCTTTCCCTGTTTTTCTTTGGCAAGTGCATGAACCCTCTAGGAAATTTCTTTCAAAAAGTTTTCTTCTTTTTTTACCTTCAGAGGATTCTCCGATCTCTCTCTCCCTTCCCGTCCCCATTGTGTCCTTATCCCCATCTTTGGCTCCTCTCACCCACGTGCTCGCAGGGTAAAGCCTGCTCCCTGGACTCTGCCTGTTTGTCACTCCAGGTCACGGGCTCTGCTTGGAACCTTAAGTCACTGTCTTCCTGTGCTTTTTACATCGGCCTCCTGCTCAGTGCCCGGATAACCTCCTCATGAAATTCGAACATCTTTCTCTTTTTCAAGGACCTCCATATTGTGACTTCAAACTATTTAATATCTTTTTTACAACAGTTAATTTCTCCATTGTCTCCTGCTGCCTCATTGCTTTCTGACCCGTGCTACCCCAGCGGAACCCTCTGTCTCTCCCGCATACTGGCCTTCTCTTTGCCTCTTTGGGTATACAATATTTACCTGCTCTTAAAGGTAAAACGCAAATCCCTTTTCCACAGGTATGTGTCCATTTTAACTTTGTTCCCCTTTAAAGTCCTAAGGAGTTATTAGTGGAATGAAGGAGTAGATAAAAAAAGATTAATTATTAAGAAACCTTTAATACCTGCTGGGTTCCAAAAAGACTGCTGTCATTACTGTATTCTTGTTATGATCAAGCTTCAAGATCTGTGTTCTCAACTTTCTTTCTCCCACCCCAGTGTCCTTGGAAAGTGCAGTGCAGCCCCAGCAGCACGCAACTCCTCAGGGCTGTGGTTCTCCCTGGCGATAGTGTGTTATGCCTCACACTGGATTTTCTGTCCTCTGGCCGCCTTCCACTGCCCCTTTCATGTCCTGGTACTCGTTCAACTTGATGACCGCTTTGGATAAATCTGTAGAAACATTTGTCAGTACTTCGTTCACATGTTACATGCCACTGTCCTCTTCTCTTCTTGACACAGGAAGGACGGTGTGTGAGTGAGTTTCTCATTTCTGTCTTCTCAAGCTGCATTCCTTATGTGTCTTCCTTCTGGTAGGTCTTCCTAAAGGAACAGGAGCGCCAGCGCCTACAAGACCTGCTCCACCGAGAGGTGCTCCGCAGGATCACTGTGCTGCAGCGCTGGGTCAGGGTCCTGCTGTGCAGGCAGCACTTCCTCCAACTGAGACAGGCGTCCATTGTGGTCCAGGTGGGAGCACAGGCTTCTTGGCACGGTTGACTGGCTTATACGGCCTTTCTCTAGTAGCCAGCACTGTTTCCCTGTTACACATCAAGTGACATTGTAAGCTTCGTCGATGAGAATGCACTGTACAAGTTTGCAGTGCTTGTAGCACCCCGCGTATTGCCCGGCATGCAGTCGCGCTGGGTTTTAATTAAGCTCGATGTGTAGTTGTATCTCGTGAGGTGTGAGGGCAGGGAGTTAAGCGCTTTCATTTCGTTGACGCGGTTCTTTATTTACCCGTCCTCTGAGTGCGCTCGAGGGCCATATGTACACTGTCGTCGTTAAGCACCCGTTTGGATAGACACTGTATTCGACAGTTGGCTTTTATTATTTTCCTCATTGATTTATATCATTGGCTGTCCTGTGGGACCTAGTCTGTTTGTCTACCTTCATCGTGAGACTGTGTGCATGGTTACCTTAAAGCCGTTAATGTTATGTGGACAAATTGTAGCAAAAGAGTATGACGTAATTTGTTAAAATTATTTTGTAGGGCATGAAAGCATCCAAAAACTTTAAGTTCTGTAATTAACTTCATCAACGTTATATTATCCTTAATAGCTGTTTTTGGCCAGGCATACCTCCAAAATTTTTTTTATTTTCAAGCACCCACAATTTAGCCACTTACCCCAGTTATGACATAAGACACGCATACTGTCCTTCGATCTTGTGAAAGCGCGATACGCGATGTCAGGCGTGGCACCCAGTCTCTGTTCTTTTTCTTCCCCACAGCGGTGGTGGAGGAGCTACCTGCACCAGAAGCACTTCAGAGCTGCAGCCGTGCGGAAGGACGCCCTCACGATGGCCAGCGCAGCCACTCTCCTCCAGGCCTCCTGGCGCGCTCACTTAGGGAGGCAGCGCTACGTGGCGCTGCGGGCCGCGGCCGTTGTCCTCCAGCAGAGGTGGCGGGAGCAGCGCAGGCGCAGGCACACGGCCGCTGCCCGCATCCAGGCCTGGTGGAAAGGTCACAGGCAGAGGAAGAAGTACCAGGAGCAGAGGAACAAAATTATTCTCTTGCAGTCAGCCTGTAGAGGATTCAGAGCAAGACAGAGGTAGTCGTCCCCTTCTTCCCAAGTGCTTTGTAGCTCTGCTCTGAGTCCCACTTGGATCAGACGGGGTTATATCAGCTTATCTCCCCCCAGACAGGGATTCTCCTACAGTTGTAACCCACAGTCCGTGGTCCGCAAGAGCAGTTAAGTATGTGCTCATTAGATTTGGGAACCAGCATGGCCTGTGGCTATAACTGCTGAGAATGAACTTTCACATTGTGTGAAACCTTAAGCAATTGGTAATATTCAACTGTTTTTGCCTTCAGAAACTTCAGTTTCATGGGAACCAGCAGTTAGCGTAATGGCTATGTCGCTGGACTCCCATGTAGTCGACTGCGGTTCGAGTCCCGGACCCGGAGGCTTAAACTCACACTGGGTGCGTGTGCGTGCTTGCCCAAGATCCCGAGAGGAGAATGGAGGAGAAGGGATTGTGCCGTGACCATCCCCCCAGGGGGGGGTGAACACACATGCCCTGGGACAAAAACCTAAATAAATAAATAAGCTGAACTTTTTTATTTTTGGAGAGGTTTTTGCTATAGGGCGTGTGCGCTTGCCAGAAAGATAGAGACAGAGAGACAGCGAGAAATCACCCCCCCCAGGGGGGATGGCCACGCCGCAATCCCTTGTCCATTCTCTTCTCGGGATCCTGGGTCCAGGACTCGAACTGTGGTCAACTGCATGGGAGTCCAGCGACATAGCCACTACGCTAACTGCTGGTCCCTCAGGTTTACCTTAAAGTATGGTTATTACTAAAGTGAGAGCTTACTTCTACACTAGTTTATGTTTTAGCTAGGATTCCCTGTTAGGGATAATATACTTACTGTCATCTGACTCGTGGAAGCAGGAGAATTAGAAAATAAAAAGGAAACTTTGCAACTTTCCATTTTTTCTAAATTCCCAGTAACTGTATTTTTCCAGTGGTAACCAAGAGACACCTGTAACCTATCTTGTCTGTTTTTATGTAGATTGAAAGCTTTGAAGGAACAGAGGCTAAAAGAAGCAAAGCTAGACCTTGGCTTGGTGACTGCTGTGGAGGCACAGGGAGCCCTGGACATTCAGGGTTCAGACCCTTCGGAATGGGAGGACCGTTCCTTTGACAGCAGAGTGAAAGCTGTGGAGGAGCGGAAGTCTGAGGTAGAGAGTAGTAGGATTGGCCGGGGGAGCTCGGTGGACTGCTCGAAGGAGTGCACAGACCAGCGACAGGAGAGAGCCAGGAGCCAGAGTGGAGTGGATTTGCAAGAAGGTGTGATTGTTAGAGAGAGGCCCAAGTCCTTGGAGGACCTCCATCAGAGGAAAGTCGGCCGGGCTAAAAGGGAAAGTCGGAGGATGCGAGAACTAGAACAAGCTATATTTAGCTTAGAGTTGCTGAAAGTCCGTTCCCTCGGGGGCGTGTCTCCTTCAGAGGAACGCAGATGGTCTACGGAGTTGGTGCCTGAAGGCCTTCAGTCTCTACAGGGAACGCCTGATAGTGACAGCTCTCAAGGAAGCTTGGAACTCCTGAGCTGTGAGGAAAGCTCGAAGAGCAGCGTGCAGTCCACGGTGGAGGGTGACGGGGACGCGCTGGTGCCTTCCCCTCGGCTCTTGGGCGGTCCAGGACGTGGTTCACAGGGCAGCACCCTCCGTGCCTCGCGTGAGACTAGCCATGCATCCACTCGAGAGGGAGCCGCCTCCGACTCAGAGCACTTGAAGAGTGGGACTGCGAAGGAGAAGCCCACCTGTGCATCGCAGCCTGTCCCCTGTAAACCACAGCAGAGAGAACCCTTCCTCTCAAATAGCCTGCCGACGTTTTTCTATATTCCCCAACAAGACCCGCTGAAGACGAGCTCCCAGCGAGACACAGCTATCCAAAGAAACAGAGTCTCGGACAGTGAAGACACACGAGGGGCAGCTCTTACTTCAGATATCAGCAGGGACACTAGAAAGTGTCACTTCTCCGAAGATCAACTTGGTCCTTCTTCGCATACAGATCCTGCTAATGCTGTACTTAAGAAGTTAGAAAAGCTCAACACTGAGAAGGAAGAAAGGCAGCGGCAGTTGCGGCAGCAGAATGAAAAAGAGATGATGGAACAGATTCGCCAGCAAACAGATATTTTAGAGCAGGCGCGTAAAGCCTTCGAGACCACTGAAAAGCCAAGAACAGTGGAGCCTTTCCAGGAAACGCCTTTCTACCAGACAAAGCAGCGAGCAGAGAGGCCATCTTCTCTCCTCATTCTCAGTGCCCCTAAGGGGGAACCTGGTGTGGTCGGGTCCCCGTCAGTAGCTACTAAAGATACAGCTCTTGCCTCACATGACAGTCCCGCTGCTCACTTACGCTCAAAGGATCGACCTGTTACCCTGTTCTTTGACAGAAAAGGAAGCTCCTACCAGTCTGGTGTTGTCAGGGAACTGTCCACGGCAGACGGAGTGGGCACCCCGCTAAACGTAGCCTGTAAACTCTCTCATAATCGTGTTTCAAAAAGAGAACACCACAGGCCCACTCAGTCACATGGCCATAGATCGGATGGCTCTTCCAGAGAGGGAAGCACTAGGGCCATTTTCTTCACGCCAAAGGACAATAAGAGTTTCCTCCTGTAAGTGAGATGTTTGCTATGTTTTTTTGTGTGTGTATGTGGGGAAGCTTGGGGAGTATTTTATTAAGATGGCTTGTTTGTGTGGGTACTGCTCAAATTAGCCATTTCCTCTTTGTAAAAATATTCCCTGATTGTTGACACCATAGGGCCCCTAAACTGGATGAGGTTATACTGTAGGAACCTTGGACCAAGCACAGACTGGGGTTTATGGCTCCTCCCTATTAAGTGAGACCGCGCTGGTGAGGGCAGGACAGTGCCTGCATAGGTATTC